CAATTCAATTCAATTCAATTTTCCACAGGATAACTTCAAAACACTTGCCTGTCAGGAAAACGAGGATGTCTCCCGCCGAGCCGTTCAAATGGACATCCAAGGTCACTCTGACAGTCTGAAACAACACAATACAATAGCAGAGTTGGGAGGGACCTTGGAGGTCTTCTAGTCCAACCCCCTGCCTAGGCAGGGAACCCTACACCGTTTCAGACAAATGGCTATCCAACATCTTCCTAAAGACTTCCAGTGTTGGGATTTTTTTTTCTTGTACTAATCAGGCTGTTTGCTATTTGCTGCAAGGAGGTAAGTCAATAACTATAAATGCCTATAGAAACTTCAAATTATTAGACTTATTTTTTAAAGGCTGCTTTATTATTGTTCTAGACCCGGGATGGCGAACCTATGGCACAAGTGCCACAGGTGGCACGCGGACGCATTTGTCAGGGAGCGCAAGGCATGTGCGCTGGCCACCTGAGTTCAGCCTTTTGTAAAGCCATTTTTTGCCCTCCTCAGGCTCCTATAAAGCCTCTGGAGCCTGGGGAGGGTGAAAAAAGCATGGAAAAATGGGGGGGGAGCGCCTCTCATTCGCGCATGCGCACTGGGGGAATCACACGTTGCGTTATGGGTGTGGCACGCCCACACACGAGCCTCCCTGCGCTCCCCCCCCCTATGGCACGCAAGCCAAAAAAAGTTTGCCATCGCTGTTCTAGACAACTTAACAAAATGAAGAAGCTTTTTAAAACAAATGCTTGATCTGAAGAGGCCCCGTGCTATTGTATCTCCTTTTAAATAGCGTAGAATAACGTAAACTTCCAGAAAGCCACGTCAATTTTAACAGCATCTATACAAGTATAGTCTGAAATGTAACACTACAAACAGTGTATATTGTCTGTGCTGTTTGCTGTTTGTTGCAAGGAGGCAAATTGCTGGGAGGCAAAAGCAGATTTCCCCCCACCCCTTATTTTTCTCGCCAAAAGCTAGGTGCATCTTATACTTCGGAGCATCTTATACTCCGAAAAATACGATTGTTGGGTAACGAAACGTCTGGAAGCAAACAACCGTGCTTAGAGAGCACCAAGGACTCTTCAACTAAATAAAATGAAAGTGGCCAGCCAATACCTCTGTGATGAAGGCAGAGTTGTTGGCATCTCTGGGGCCCAGAGCATTACAGAAGATCTCCTCCACCAGGTATTTCCTTCCTGGAATCTCCACCACGGAGCAATTTCCAAAGAAGGCCGAGAACTTCTCCACGTCCAAGGTGGCGGACATCACCACGACCTTCAAGTGTTCCTTCCTTTGGATTTCTTTTTCCCCGTGGAAAAGCTGCTTCAACAGGCCAAAGAGGATATCCTAAAAGAGAAGCAGTCCTCCTAATGTCCACGTTTTGAACCACAGTCCCTCTTTCAAACATGGAACACACTATGATCTCTCACGGCCAATCCTAAATTGATCTTTTCATTGGCAAACATGTTTCCAGCTGTGCGGGAAATACCAACTGCAGGTGTTCTGACCCAGGCTTCCTTAAAAAGCAAGAAACAGAGTCTTGGTGCCAGCAAAATAGCAGTAGATTTAGCAGTAGACTTATATACCGCTTCATAGGGCTTTCAGCCCTCTCTAAGCGGTTTACAGAGAGTCAGCATATTGCCCCCAACAATCTGGGTC